TTGGAAAGTCAAAGTAAAGTATAAATTGGAAATGATAAATTACTTACTTCTATACATGGAAGGCTCTGTTTTTCTAATTCGCATAATTATTTCTAATTGAAAGCAACTCACTCACTGCAGTACCCATGTCCATTCTATCTTGGGGAGACTCCATGGAACATGAAACCCCAACCTTAATCATGCCAATTAGGCATTCACCTTTCCTTCCTTCCGTTACACCTTCATCTCTCTTCATCTTTCCTGTAAGTAGACTGGGTCTGCAATCTCCAACACCATTATCAGTAATGCCATCTACATTCTAGCAAAACTGTGAAGGTTAAGACCCTCTTGAAAAATATCATCAGTAGGTTTCTTTCCTGTCACCATCTCCAATAAAAGGATCCCATAGCTATAAACATCTCCACTTGTTGACGGCTCACTTCCCAAACCATATGCTGAAAATTTGACAATTTTTTCTTAAAAAAGGTAAGAAAAAATTTTGACTGAAAATATATAAATACAAATTCTGTGTATAACAAATGGAAGGGTCATAATCACCTGGAGCCGCGTAACCGATTGTTCCTCTTACACCGAGAGAGCTACTCTGAACTGGATTCATTAGCTGAGGGATAAATTTTGCTAGACCGAAATCTCCAATGTGAGCAACCATGGAGCAACCATGTCATTGTCAAGAAGAATGTTGCTTGGCTTTAGATCACAATGAATGATCGGCTCGTGGCAACCGCAGTGAAGATAATCCAGTGCATTCCCTACATCTATGGCAATATTCATTCTTTGAGGAAGATTTAGATTTGGTTGTTCCATTGGCTGAGCATACATTTCTGGACTTGGATGCAACCACTTCTCAAGGTTTCCATTCGGCGGTTTCCATTCGGATATACCATAAACAAGTGCTTTAAAATCATTTCCTTGGAAATCGTATACTCGAGCAAGAAGGTTATGATTCGCACGAGATTTCTATGACGTATTTTTTGCCAAGACTTTTACAACCATAAAACTCTTTGCAGCACCTTGTTGTTCAAGGTTGACTACTTTTACTGCCATCAATGTTCCATTCTCGTCAAGATTTCCTTTATAAACAGCGCCAAAGCTTCTAACACCAAGTAAGTTCTCTGGAGAGAACCCATTAGTTGCTTTTAGAATCTTGACATATGAAAGATTCAGAAATTCTTTTATTAGCATGTTGTTAGGAGGTCTCTCTTTGTTGGTCTTCTTCTTAAATTTACAATATAAGAAGATTACCATGATGGTTAAAACACCTGATGCTGCAATTGTAACAAATTTGACAACATCTAGTTTTCTTCTTTTTGATTTTTGATGATTTAAACATCTTGGTAGCTTGAGTTCTGGTATGCCTCCACATAACCAGTTGTTACCTTCAACAAATATTGTACACAAATATTGCACTTGCATTGGCAAAAACACCTTTGACTGGAATCTCACCCTCAAAATTGTTAAAAGACAAATTCAGATATTCCAATGATAATTTCTCAAGATATTCAGGAATTTTGCCTGATAAATTGTTTGGAGAAAGGTCCAAGATTCGAAGACCTCTCAAAGAAGCAAATGATGAAGGAAATGTACCTTGAAAATTATTACCATTCATAAATAGGATCTCAAGGCTGTTGCACTTACCTAGTTCATTTGGAATTTTGCCGGTCAAGCTGTTTTCTGAAACATACAATTCATTCAAATTGAATAAATTGCCAATTTCGGATGGAAGTGTTCCTTCGAAGTTGTTTAGAGATAAATTTATTGAAACTAGCATGGTAGGGATAGAAAAAAGCTGTTTAGGAATGGAACCAATGAAGTTGCTTCTAGAAAGATCCAAGAACAACATGTTACGCCAATTTTCAAGACTAGAAGGTAAGGTACTATGGAAATTGTTATCATCCAATTGAAGCAAAATCAATGATGATAGATTGCCTATGGACGAGGGAATAGATCCTGACAATCTATTATTGTCAAGAACTAGCTGTTGTAATTTTAATCTATTATTGTCAAGAACTAGCTGTGTAATTTTTTCAAATGTTACAATCTCCATCGAATAGGAATAGTGCCTGTAATTTGGTTAAACTGTATACTCATTGTTGTCAAACTAACAAGAGTAAAAAACCATTGAGGAAGGCCTCCATATATTTGATTTTGGCCAATTGATAGCCATTGAAGTGATGAAGATAGATTAGCTTTCGAATTCGGCAAAACTCCCTTTCGCTTTATTATCAGAAATATCCAAGAATCTCAAATAGCTACAGTTGAGCAAAGAAACAATGAAATTCAAATCATTGCCTTCTTTTCTTCCAAGATTATTTTCAGCCAATGCTAAATAAATAAGTCTGCGTAGTCCTCCAAAGTGAACATCTACCCTCCAAAGTGAACATCTACTTTTCCAGTGAAGTCATTTAGTGCTAAAACGATGTACTCAAGTTTCGTAGCATTTGATAAGGAGACAGGAATTGAACCACTAAAATTGTTTCCCCATATTCGTATTAACTGAAGTTCAGGAAAGAGAAGGCCAATATTTGATGGAATACTTCCATGAAATTGATTCTCGGAGACAGAAAAATAAGTGATGGTTGAAATATTATAAATGGCCTGAGGAATTATACCTGAGAGTTTATTTGTAGCAATTTGAAACTTTGACAATTGCTTGAGTTTGCCAAGAGTGTCAGGAATAGTTCCAATCAAGAAATTTTCTCGTGCAGATAAGGATTTCAGGAAGGTAAGATTGCCAATGGAAGGTGGAATTGGTCCATTCAAATAATTATCAGGAACATAAAGTTGAATAAGCTTAGACAAATTTGAAAGCTGAAATGGAATCTTTCCTATTAGCTTGTTGTACGATAAGTAGAGGATCTTCAGACTGGAGCACAAGGACAAGTTGGATGGAATTTGGCCCTGGAAAGAGTTGTTTTCTAGATTTAGAACTTGAAGCCTGAACAAACGGCCCAGTTCAGGTGGGATTTGGCTTCGAAAGGTGTTGTTTTGAAGGCTAATCTCCCTAAGGAAACTCATGTTTCCTATGTAAGGAGACAAAGAACCCACTAACCCTTTTGACTGAACATCAAGAATGATCACTCTTTTGTGTTTGCGGCCGCATCTGATCCCTTCGATCCTTCCAGTTGCAGAAATGGACTGAATCATTCCATGAGCTCAACAGATTTTGAGGGTCATGCACAATATTTGACTTGAATTGTGACAAGGCAAGATAATCTGTCTCATTCCCTCCGATGGAGAGAGTTTGGAGGCTCAGCTGCAGCACAAAGAGGTTGAAAGAAAAAGCAAGCGAGTGTACTGAAGCTCATCATTTCAGAACAAGGTTAACTGATTTTTTTTTTTTCTTCTCTATTCTTGTTTTTTCTCATTTGTTTTTTCTCATTTGGTAGCTTTCGAAACAAGAAGAAATAACTCCTCTTGTTCCTTTATTTCTACATTCTGGAGCCAAAATGAGAAAACTATCTTAAGGACGTATGCATTTCTTCATAGTTAGGTTAAATGTCTTAGCGGTTGGATCACGGCACTAGAATTTGGTAACCATGCAGTCCAATTCAACCATGATGATTGTCTTTTGTGTCGTGTCATGTGTCCAACATAGTTCTATGTTATTAATTGAATTTTCATGTGTTCCCACTTGAAATTCAAGTCCAGAAATCAAGTCCCAATAATGTTGATTTTCTTCTGAAAATGTGTATTTGAAATGGTCGAAAAAATATTAAGAACGCGACGTCACTGTTAGATTAATTGAAAATAATATTATTAAAAATATTTTTAAATATTTTTAATAATATTATTTTGAATTAATCCTAATTAATTCAAACATAATATTATGAAAAATATTTTGAGATTTCAATTTTATTTAGTGCAAATATTCTGCATAGAATTTGATATTTTTGTTATTAGGATTAATAATTTTTAGGAATATTTTTAGGTCTTATTTAATTCACTTGTAAGCTTATAAATAGGCATATTCTTCTGTTAATTCAACAAAGTGCTAAACATTATTAATCATCTTGTGCATTTCCATTCTTCCTTCCCAAAAAAATTTCAGAAGTCACAAACCGTGTCGAGCCTATGAAAGAGTACGAGCCTATGAAAGAGTATGCCCGAGTGGAACTGATAAGATCAAAAGACCCGACAGAGCAGGAAGTGACCAAGTGCAGTAACTTTTACATTCTCAAATTTTGTTCTTTTTAATTTTGTCAAATTATGCAGCAAGAGCAGAATCAACCTGACAACTCTATGCAGCTACAGGATTCTCCATTTTTTTTGGAGATGTAACAGTTCCTAGAAATTTAAGAAACGGGCCTTCTGTAGAGGCAGAATACAGAAACATGGCTTCCAGGTTTCCTACATAATTCCTGTAATGGTCCTGCTCAGTTTACAGAGGCCTCTCGCTGTTTGCAAAGTTAAAATTGGACTAACGATTCTGATAAATATCGCTCCTTAACTGCTTTCACTCCGTCAAATTTCAGCCTCGTGGTCCTAGAATAAGTTAATTATTGAAAAAAAGAAAGTAAATACATGATATTTAGTCAGTAGACTTTCAATTTTTATAAACAGATAGTTGACTTTCCAAAACCATAGTCCTATTAGTAGTTTCTCATAGAACAATTTGGAATTCTCCCCTGCTTCCATATTCAGAATGATTTTATTGTTCTTTTCACAACATTTTGGAAAACCAAGCCTGCAAATTCAAAAGTAAATATAAAATTGGAAAAATATGAATTACTTACTTGTTTATCACATGGATGGTCCTGTCTTTCTTAATTCCGCACAATAGTTAATTTCTAATGAAGAGGCACTCCTTTACTGCATTACTCATGTCATTCTACCTGAGGAAAGACTCCATAGAACATGAAACCCCAACCTTAATCATGCCAATTACGCAATCAACTTCATGTTCTCTTAACACCTTCAATCTTCTTTGTAAGAGAAATTGGGTCTGCAATCTTCTTGCCAACACACTACAGGCAATGCCATTCTAGCAAAATTGGTGAAGGTTAAGACCTTCTGCAAAAATAACCATCAGTAGGTTTTTTTTCCTGTACATGCATCTCCAACAAAAGGATTCCATTTAGCTATAAACATCTCCACTTGTTGAAGCTCACTTCCTAAACCAATATTCTAAAATATTTAAAAATTCAAAAAAAAAGAAAGTAAGAAAACAATTCCGACAGTGAAATAAGTAAATAATAAACCTCTGTATATATCAATAGGAGGAGAGTATTAATCACCTGGAGCGGTATAGCGAATTGTTCCTCTTACACCAAGAGAACTACTTTGAACTGGATTCATCAGTTGAGGGAGAAATTTTGCTAGACCAAAATCTCCAATATGAGCAACCATATCATTGTCAAAAAGGATGTTGCTTGGCTTTAGATCACAATGAAAGATTGGCTCGTGGCAACCGCGATGAAGATAATCTAGTGCATTCCCCACATCTATAGAAATATTCATTCTTTGAAGGATGTTTAGTCTTAGTTGCTTAATTGGCTGATTGTGCATTTCAGAACCCAGATGCAGCCACTTTTCAAGGTTCCCATGCGGCATGTACTCGTAAACAAGTGCTTTAAAATCATTTCCTTGAAAATCGATACTTGAGCAAGATGTTATGATTCGCACAAGATTTCTGTAACGTATATTTTGCAAGACTTTGCATTCAGCCATGAAACTCTTTCCAGCACCCCGTTGTTGAAGGTTGACTACTTTTACTGCAATGAATCCTCCATTCTCAAATGAATCCTCCATTGTCCCAAAGATTTCCTTTATAGACAGTACAAAGCTTCCCATACCAAGTAAGTCCTCTGAAGAGAACAACATTAGTTGCTTAGAATCCTGTCATATGAAAGAACTCTCAAATGCTTTGCTAGGCATTGTTGTTCGGAGATCTCTTCTGTGTGGGCTCTTAAATTTTGCAATTATAAAGAAGATTGGGACAAGATGAACACGCAAAAAACACACTGATTTTGCAAATTGGTCACAAATTTGACAACATCTAAGTTTTCTTCTCTTTGATTCTTGATGATTTATGCATGCTGGCAGCTTTGAGTTCTGGTATGCTCACCCTAGCCTGTTGTTACCTTCGAACAAATATTGCACTTGCATTGGCAAAAACACCTTTTGTTTGGAACCTCACGCCTCAAAATTGTTTAAAAGACAAGTTCAGATATTTTAATTGAAATTTCTCTCTAGATATTCAGGAATTTTGCCAGATAAATTGTTTCTAGACAAGTCCAGGACTTGAAGACCTCTCAAAGAAGCTAATGATGAAGGTAATGTACCTTGAAAATTATTACCATCCAAGTATAGAGTCACAAGGCTCTTGCACTGACCTAGTTCACTTGGAATTTTCCCAGATAAGTTGCTTTTTGAGGCATAAAATTCATTTAAACTGAGTGAACTGCCAATTTCTGAAGGAAGTGTTCCTTCAAAATTGTTTAGAGATAAATCTATAGAAACTAACATGGAAGCGGTAGAAAAAAGTTGTTTAGGAATGGAACCGTTTAGGAATGGAACCGATAATGTTGCTTCTGAAAAGATCCAAGAATAACATGTTATGCCAATCAAGACCAGAAGGGAGTGAAGTACGAAAATTATTATCAGCCAGTCCAAGCTGAATCAAAAACGATAGATTGCCTATGGATGATGGAATTGGTCCTGATAATCTATTGCGATCAAGATATAGCACTCGTAATTTTTCAAGGTTACCAATCTCCATTGGAATAGCACCTGTAATTTGGTTAACTTGTATACTCATTGTTGTTAAGCACTCATTGTTGTTAAGCTAACAAGAGTAAAGAACCATCGAGGAAGGCCTCCATATATTTGATTTGTGCCCAACTGATAGCAATTGAAGAGATGAAGATAGATTAGCTTTTAAGTTCGGAAAAACTCCCTTTAGCCTATTACGAGAGAAATCCAAAGTTCTCAAATAGCTACAATTGACCAGAGAAGTGATAAAATTCAAATCATCACCTTCTCCGGTTCCAAGATTATTTTCAGCCAAGGTTAACTCATCAAGTTTACGTAGGCCTCCAAAGCGGACATCTACTTTTCCAGTGAAGCTGTTTACTCCTACATGTATATACTGAAGTTTGGTAGCATTTGATAATGAAACAGGAATTGACCCACTAAAATTGTTTCCCCATATTTGAAAGTTCTGAAGTTGAGGTAGAAGGATGCCAATATTTGATGGAACACTTCCATGAAAGTGATTTGCAGCCACATAAAAATGATTGATGGTTGAAATATTGTAAACAGACTGAGGTATTGTACCTGAGAGTTTATTGTCACCAATTTCAAGCAATGTCAAGTGCTTGAGTTGGCCAAGGGTATCAGGTAAAGTTCCAACCAAGAAATTTTGGGTTGCAGCTAAGAAATCCAATGAGGTAAGATTCCCAATGGAAGGTGGAATGGGACCGTTCAAAGAATTAAAGAAAACTAAAAATTTAATAAGCTTAGACAGATTGGAAAGCTGAGATGGAATATTTCCTGCTAGTTTGTTGCAGGATAACTGAAGATGAAGAAGATTAGAGCAATTGGACAAGTCAGGTGGGATTTTCCCTTCAATGGAGTTATTTCCAAGATTTAAAACTTGCAGCCTGAACAAATATCCTAATTCAGGTGGGACTTCACCTTCGAATGTGTTATTTTGAAGACTAATCTCCCTAAGAAAACTCATGTTTCCGACGTAAGGAGACAAAGAACCCACTAACCCTTTAGATTGAAGATCAAGAATGCTGACTCTTCTGTGTTTGCGGCCGCATGTGATTCCTTCCCAGTTGCAGAAATGGAGTGACTCGTTCCATGAGCTCATCAGATTTTGAGGGTCATGCACAATATTGGACTTGATTGAGGGTCATGCACAATATTGGACTTGAACTGTATCAAGGCAAGATAATCTGTCTCATTCCCTCTGTTGGAGAGAGCTTGAAGGCTCAGCTGCAGCACCAAGAGGTAGAAGATGATGCATTTTAGAGAAAAAACATCAAGTGTTACCAAGCTCGTCATTTCGGGACAAGGTTAAAGGTAACAACATTGCTATTTATACTCTCTAGTATTGTATATGTTGGTAAATTAGTGAAAATAAACATACATACATTGATATGAATATATGTTGTGTTTGACAACTATTTTTTAAGTAGCTTTTAGTATTTTGATGAGTTAAAACGCTATTTTATAGTGTTTGATAGCAAGCGTTTAGAGGGTAAGGTAGCTTTTTAGGGGTAAGGTAGCTTTGTATAGGCTATATTCGGCAATAGGTTTATATAAGCTATGTTCGCAAATGACAATGATTTTTTTGCAAGTATACGAAATCGCAACAAGTAATAAAGAACGAGTAGAGTATCGTTCCCACAAGGATTGTATACCAAGTACCAAAACAAAGTACCAAAATATGTTAACCTACTATTATTTAACACAATAAGGGGAGTTATTTTATTTAAGAAATTAAATTCAACAAATAAAAGAGAATAAGAAGAAATCAAGCAAATAAATTTTGATTAAAAGAAATCAAGGTTTAAAAGCTATTAGGGATTTTTACTTTACTTAATTTTATCCAATTTATTTTATTAGTTCGTTAATTAATTTTAATTGTTCAAGTAGGGGAAACAACCTAAAATCACTAATAAGCTCTTCCGATGTATTGTTAGCTATTTTAACCCGGTCTAATTACCTATCCTCCAATAGCGCAATCAAACATGAATTAAATCATTAAGTTTTATGTTTTGTTTTGTGAATTCATAACCTAAGGTCACTAACTTATGAAGACCCGCCATGAGTCAAACCATATAATTTCCACATCAAGTTATTATTGTCATGTAATTTATTACTTTTTTCATATCAAAAACCCTTCTCCCGGTAGTAGTTAATGAAATAAATCAATCCAGGGAGAAACTCTGCCTGGAAGCATTAAATTCAATAATAAATTTAAAATCAAATAATAAAATTATACTTTGAACAAAGAAAACAAATCTAATATTTAATTGAAAAAGAAATTAAGCTACCATAAAATCCCTAGTATGAGAATTTAAGTTTGAACATTAATTAAAAAAATTTCCATTAAACTTGAAATAATTTCATAATCAATGTGAGTAATGAAAAGTAATAAACAGATTAAGAGTTTAAAGAGATAAAAACTAATCAACAAATAACGTGGACGACTTTCTTGGAATCTTGAATACCAAATCTTTGAATGCTTGAAGTCTTGGAGAGAGAGAGAGAAAAATAATAGAACAAAGATGGTAGAACCAGAGAAGGTATATACAATGAATGAGTTCTCTCTTTATATAGACTTTCTGGGAGAAAATCCGACTTCATTTAGGAAATAGAGTCTTGATTATGTAAGAAATCTTTTGGAAATAGAAAACTGTTTAGGTTTTGAATTTCTTCTCAATTAGAACTCTCCCATGCGCCTAAATAGGATTAGAAATTGATTTGCTCGTCAGGTAATCATCTTATGCGGGCCAATGCAAGTGGTAGGGACCAGCCGACGTTCTCAACTCAAAATAAAACTTGATTTTAAGCACGGGCATACTGTGCGGCACGGTCTGGGCATGCTGGAGCCTAAGTTCTAAGGATGGTTCAGCACGGGCCGTGCTCATGGGCACGTCTAGAGAGGAATTTGTTGCACGAGCGTGCCTCATAGCACGGTCTAGGCGTGAGCATGGGCCATGCTCAGGTAAGCATGCCTTTGGATTGATGTTCTCTTGCGGCATGGGCGTGCCAGATAGCACGGCTAGGGCGTGCTGAGTTACACAGCCGAAGCGTGCTAGAGCCTGAGATTTTTGCTTTATTTTACTCTTTTCTGTGCCAAAATTCTACAAATTTCCTTAAGATCAAACAAATTATGTTTCAAGAAAGCTTTGAACAAAAACCAAAAACATAAATAAAACTAAATAAAAACTAATTAAAGTAATTAAAACTACTAAAAATCCTAATAAAAACTATATTAAAAAAACTATAAAATAACACTTATCAGCAAGTAGCTTCTAGCTTTTTTTTTACTGGTGAAAACGCTAAACGCTACTTTTTGAACTAGTTTTTAGCGGTTAAGATAGCATTTTATAAAAAGTTAACTCATTTAACATTTAACTTTTAGCGCTTTATAAAAAGCTACTAAAACACCTAGCAGCTAAACGCTACTGAAACAGTTAATAGTTATCAAAACAACTTATCTTATTGAATAGACATATAAAAGGTTAACGCTATAATGTTTTATAACAAGCTATTCAAATAGCTAAATGCTATTAACAAAACAGCTAATTTTGCCGAAGAGTCACAAATATAAAATTTGCATTTATCCTTAATACACGGCACTATAAATTTGATGACTTTGCACTTAAATTGGGATGAACTCTTTCCAACTCTACCATAACGATTGTCGGTTGAAGCCAAAACCCAATAATGGTCAATGGACCTATTGGATTCAATTATATAAAACCTAATCTTCATTGTAAAACCCAAAATGTGTTTAGGCTCATCAAGATCCAAGTGTTAAACACTCATCAAGTCCAAGTGTAAACAAACATTGTACAAAAAGTTATTTTTTTGCTCCATTATTTCTACATTTTGGACCCAAAACAACGTTAGTGCTAAGACTTGACTTGCAAAGTCTATAAAGCAAAAGCTTCTTTTTTTTTTTTAATGATTTGTTGAGAAGGTAGAACCCCAAATTGCTGTCTTCTCTAAAGATAAATGATTTCACTTAATTGGAAATTTCCATGAAAGTCGAAATGTTTCCATCTAATTATCATGAGCGTCTCTAAGTACAGTGGATTTTTGTAGGTATGCATTAATTTTATAGTTTTTGGGCCTTTGGGTCAATAGTTTTTTACCCAAATTCATGATTATGTTTTTTTCTGTTTTTTTTTTTTTTTTTGAATTAAAAATAAAGAAGAAAGAGTTATAAATTTGAATGTTTAGCAACTTAAAGATTCAAATCTTTATTCTCTATTTAATTAATTTAATTAATTTTATTTCAATTACTGGAACTGAAATTTAACTGAAATTTATTTGATTAGAAATTGAAACTCTTTATCCTCAATTTAGTGTTCAATATATAAAATGATTTTTTAAATTAAAGTGTCGTAAGTAATTTTATAAATTAAAATATTTTATCAATGAAAGTAATCCACAAGGTTAAAAGAATGACAGGTAAAAAGATTATCCTATGTTTTCATATTCCAGTAGCCATTTTATTATTCTTCACCAAACATTTTGGAAAACAAACAGTGGAAATTCAAAGTAAATATAAATTGGAAGTAATAAATTACTTACTTCTACACATTGAGGACCCTGTTCATCTAATTCGCACATAGTTATTTCTAACTGAAAGCAACTCCTTTACTGCATTACTCATGTCCATTCTATCCTGAGGAGACTCCATAGAACACGAAACCCCAACCTTAATCATGCCAATTACACCTTAATCATGCAATTGACGGCAATTCAACCTCCATGTTCTCCTTACCACCTTCATCTTCTTGTAAAGAACTGGGTGCACCAATCTGCAAGACATTATTCAGCAAGCCATTCTAAGCAATTTGGTGAAGGTTAAGACCTTGCAAAATACCATCAGTAGTTTTTTTTTTTCGCATGTCATCAAATCTCCAAACAAAGGATTTCCATAAGCTATAACAATCTCCACTTGTTTGACAGCTCACTTCCTAAACATATATTCCTAAAAAATATTTACAAAAATTCAAAAAAAAAAGAAAGTAAAAAACAATTCCGAACAGTGAATAAGTAATAATAAACTCTGTATATATTCAAATAGGAAGTTATTAAATTTCACCTGGAGCGGTTATAGCCAATATGTTCCTCTTAACACCAGAGAACTACTTTGAACTGGGATTCATCAAGTTTGAGGGAGAAATTTTGCCTAGAAAAACCAAAATCTCCAATATTGAGCAACCATATCATTGTCAAGAAGGATGTTGCTTGGCTTTAGATCACAATGAAATGATTGGCTCGTGGCAACCGCAGATGAAGGATAATAACAGTGCATTGCCCACGATCTATAGAAATATCAATCTTGAAGAAGGTTTAGAGTCTTAGTTGGCATCAATTGGCTGATTGTGCATTTTTCAGAACCCAGATGCAGCCACTTTTCGAGGTTCCCATTCGGCATGTAAACTCGTAAACAAGTGCTTTAAAAATCATTTCCTTGAAAATGCGATACTTCGAAGCAAGATGTTTGATTTCGCAACAAGATTTTCTGTGACTTATATTTTGCAATTGCAAGACTTTGCATTCAGCCATGAAACTCTTTCCAGCACCCCGTTGTTGAAGGTTGACTACTTTTACTGCAATGAATCCTCCATTCTCCCCAAGATTTCCTTTATAGACAGTACCAAAGCTTCCCATACCAAGTAAGTTTTCTGAAGAGAACCCATTAGTTGCCTTTAGAATCCTGCCATATGAAAGACTCTCAAATGCTTTTACTAGCATGTTGCTCGGAGATCTCTCTTTGTGGCACTCCTCCTTAAATTTGCAATATAAGAAGATTAACAAGATGATCACACAAAAAACACCTGATATTGCAATTGTCACAAATTTGACAACATCTAGTTTTCTTCTCTTTGATTCTTGATGATTTATGCATTTTGGCAGCTTGAGTTCTGGTTCTTGGTATGCGCCTCCACATAGCCTACTGTTACTTTGAACAAAATAATTCGCACTTTGCATTGGGCCAAAACACCTTTTTGTCCGGAACCTCACCCCAAATTGTTAAAAAGACAAGTTCAGAATATTTTAAATGAAAATTTTCTCTAAGATATTAGGAATTTTTTTGCCAAGATAAAAATTGTTTCTAGACAAGGTCCAAAGACTTGAAAACCTGCCCTCAAAAGAAGCAAAGATGAAGGTAATGTACCTTGAAAATTATTACCATCCATAAATAGGAATCTCAAGGCTGTTGCAAACTTACCCCTAGTTCATTTTGGAATTGCCTGTCAAGTTGCTTTCTGATGCATGCAATTCATTTTCAATTGAATAAATTGCCATTTCTGAAGGAAGTGTTCCTTCA